TCCATTGAGGTGAAATAAGAATAATTAACTTAACCTGAGATCGTTGGTCCCATGTAATTTAACTTCGCAGCTTAAGACGTTGCCACTAAGCTATTTAGGCTGTGATTGACCTGTTAGACGGATATATTTACATTGATTGGTTCATGAGCAGTGACATATGTCATGTATGTATAGTCTCTTAACGACGATCGAAGCTGAGTGACGTGGGATCTAAACTGTCACAGAAAACCACTTCCCTGCAGACTACATATACACGCTTCTGACGTGTCGCGAGTAGTACGAAACATACGCCCACGATTTCTCGTTCACTACCTCCAACATCTCAACATAGTTCACGCTATACCTCTCACATTGTAACGTAATCTATAGGATCCAATTGACACTAAAGTCAGTCAGTCAGTAACAACGTAGAACTTCATACGTACGTACATCAGTTCGAGTTGCCACACCACATTAGCACAGAGATGCAGTTGTCGATTCAAATCCCGTAGTAGTAGAGGTAGCAAGAGTATAAGCAGTAATCGGGAAGATTAGGGTTTCAAGATGTTATTTAAAGGGTATAATACAGTGAAATAAATTTGGAAAGAGGTAAAAAGGGACATGAAGAATTCAGAAGATTAGAATTTGAGAGAACACAAAAGTGTATGCACCTGCGCCATTGCAAATGATTTTGAGCCATGACATTCAGGGTCTCTAACCATCGGTTGCTATCATCTCGCGGTCCCCAACCAGGTAGTCTACACCTACCAACATGCCTCAGTTCACTTGCCAGTGACTTCATGGACTTGTGCCATGTTTTGGTCTGGTCGCCTCTAGCTTTCTTCCAACCTACTCCTATACCACTGAACATCGCACGTCGAGGCAGTCGGTCGTTGGGCATACGTAACACGTGTCCTAGCCATCTCAACTGGTGAAGTTTCACTACTTCATCAATTGATTTGGCATCCTTACCTAGTATCCGTTTCCTAACAACTGCATTACTTACTCGATGGTCCCAGGATATACGAGCAATGTTTCGAAGACACCTATGATCGAATACTAGTAACCTACGAATATCCTCTACTCTTACCGGTCACGTTTCACTGCTATAAAGTAGGACGGAACGAACTGCTGCTCAGTGAACACGTCCTTTGGTTAGCAGACGGATATCTCGCCTACGCCATAAATGACGCAGGTTGGCAAAAGCTAGTTGAGCCTTCTGTATCCGTGCTGAGATTTCGTCACACACCAGACCACAAGGGCTGATGAGACTTCCAAGATAAGTGAAGCGGTCGACACGCTCAATTACTTCACTCTCTATCACTAGTTCGGGTGTCGATGTAACCCGATCCTGAAGCAACATTTTGCATTTCGAGGGAGAGAATCGCATCCCGAACATGCTTGCATTGTTGCTTAGAGTGGTCAGAAGACTCTGCATTTTGTCAGCGTCTTCGCCAAATAAAACTATGTCATCTGCATATTCTAAGTCAACAAGTGAACCTCCCAGTAGAAGTTCAACCCCTGTAAATTTAGATGAGGAGAGTGTTATCTCCAAAAGTATGTCGACCACAAAGTTGAACAAGAATGGGGAGAATGGACAGCCCTGACGAACACCACTTGAGGTAATCAATTCTGATGACAGTTCGCCATAAGCTCTCACTCGACCAGTTGTGTTCGAGTAGAGAGCCTTTATAAGGTTAATGTACTTCTTTGGTACTCCTTTCAGTGACAAACACTGTCATAGAACCTCACGATCAACAGAGTCGAATGCCGCCTTAAGGTCGAGAAATACTACCATTGTGGGGCGTCTGAATGTGTGTCTGTGTTCTAGAACCTGACGTAGTGTGAATATCTGGTCTATACAACCACGTCCATGTCGAAAACCAGCCTGATTTTCTCTAGTCTGCTCTTCACGAGCTTTGATTAGGCGTCGAAGTATTATTAAAGCTAATATTTTAGACACTATATTAGTCAAACTGATTCCTCTGTGATTGTCACAAGAGGACTTTTGTCCTTTCTTATAGACTGGCACAATCAGTGATTGAGACCAGTCAGATGGGATTACGTCCAGTTCCCAAATTCTACCTAAGACCTCGGTTAATCTCATTGCTAATACTGGACCACCATCCTTAGAAATCTCAGGAGTAAACCTGTCAGGGCCTGCTGCTCTCCCTCGTTTCAGATTTCCTATGGCATTTTCAACTTCGTAAAGGGACGGAGGACCTACATTAACTTGCCATTCAGGTTGACTAGAGATCGTGGGAAACCGAAGTGTGGCTGAAGGCCAGTTGAACTGATCCCTGAAGTGTTCTTTCCATCGATCCAATCTCCTGGATTGAGAATGTATAATATGTCCATCTTTCTCTGAGAGTGTTTCCTTAACAAGTCTGAACAATTGTCTGCTATTACCTATTGCCGCTGCCTTTTCCATCTCTCTTGCTTTCGCTACCCACCACTGTTAGACATATAAGCTATTGAATATACTGATTCGGTGATCTGACATTTGAGCACTCACTGAGAGACTCGAGTTTGATACCTGACGGTGGGACTGTGGATACACACAAGTGAAGAGTTTTGTACTAAAACAAAATAGTTATCCAGCAATCTCTCTTAGAAAGGTAATTCCCGGGGCTGAATTGCTAAACCATGATCAATGAATTTAAACTATACAAGATGTGATGCAATCACCCACAATAGAAGACAGTTGCAAATGGATTGAAGTTAGTTATGGCTTTTTCAAATTCGTAAAGAGACGGAGGACCTACATTAACTTGCCATTCAGGTTGACTGGAGGTCGTGGGAAACCGAAGTGTGGCTGAAGGCCAGTTGAACTGATCCCTGAAGTGTTCTGCCCATCGATCCAATCTCCTGGATTGAGAATGAATAATATGTCCATCTTTCTCTGAGAGTGTTTCGCTAACAGTCGGTTTCCTAATACCGGTCTCCTTAACAAGTCTGAACAATTTCTGCTATTACCTATTGCCGCTGCCTTTTCCATCTCTTTTGCTTTTGCTACCCACCACTGTTCACGATCATTGCGTAGACTTCTTGTCAGCTTGCGCTTAAGCTGACTCCTCTCTTCATTATGTTCTGGGCCAGGTGGAATGAGTTTTCGAGCATCTATCAGTGCGAGAGATTCTGCTGAGATCCAGTGTTGCTCTCTAACCTTACGGTTTACCTTACTAGCAGATATCACTGCTGTTTCCACAGCTTTTCGGATATCATTCCATGCTGCCTCGGGGTGGACATCACATACATGGCGCAAGCAAATACGCGCTCGCACTAGAGCATGATCTGAATCTAAGCATGTGCTCCAGAATGAGCGACAGTCTTCTACCGAGCCCCTCCATCGGTGGCTGATAGCGATGTGATCTATTTGGGTCCAACGTTGGGACGAATTAGGGGGTCGCCATGTTAAAAGATGTTTTTCCTTATGCTTAAAGTTAGTATTTGCAAGGAACAGGCAGTTATCTGAGCATAGCTGCAACAGACGGTCGCCATTATCTGTTCTTTGAGCCACGACACCATGAAATCCACCTAGGTGTCTTCCCCTTTCTCTTAGTTTACCTACTTGAGCATTAAAGTCACCGGCCACTATTACTACATCCGAGCGCTTAGCTTTTCGGAGAAGGTCCGAAAGCTTTCTGTAAAACTCATCTTTTACATCATCTGAGCTGCAGTCAGTGGGAGAATAGGCAGAGACGACGAAGAGGCAACGACGAGTGTCCCTATCTTTCCGGATTCTTACTGTTCCGTTCAGTCGGACAGTGCACAAACGACTGTCTACTGGGATCCACTCTAAGAGAGCTAGTTCTGCCCTAGGACTCAATGCTATACCTACGCCGGCGAGGCCACGGGAAGCAGAATCAGGGCTTCCAGATACACGAAGCGTAAATCGAGTCGGTTCTTTATTTTGGCATGGTGAGGTCAAATGAATGACGCTACTTGGATCCTGTATGCGCGTTTCGTAGACGCAGCACACATCGATGGCGCGAGATTCTAAAGTCCTAGCTAAGGAAGCCTGTTGTCCTATTTGGCAAAGTGTTCGTACGTTAAAAGCTCCTACGTGTGGTTTAGAGTGTGGTTTCGGGAGACCAGGAATAGCGTTCTACGTACTCGAATCGTTTGCCCTAGCGGTTCGAGGTGATAAAGGGACGTGAGGAGGGTTAGTCATGAAGATAAGAGAGTTATTAGGAGGTGTGGGGTGGATTCGAATGTGACCAACTTGGTCTCGTGTGCTGTTACGGGTATGAGGGCCGATATCACTTCCCGGCTGCCCACACAGTAGAAGGGTATTTCTTGAGGAACCTGGAAAGGAAATTGGATTAGTGTTGGTCTTGACGATCTGGGAGCGTGACTGCAGAGCCCAAAGGACAACTTGAGGCCGGTCGCTCACGGCCATATTGTGGGAGTTTTTTATTGTATTATCTCCGTTCTTTAAACGGCCTTATTGCCGGAGACGGAAATCCGTGAGGTAAGGTAAGGTGTGACACTTTAAGGGTGGACCTTTTCTAACCACTTCCTTCCTTGTGAGAAGGCAGCATCGCTGTCATGCTGGTTGTCCGAGGGAAACACCTTACTGCTGTCACACCCCTCTACAGTCAGCAGTACGACTTCGCCCTCAGACCTTGGGTTGCTGCTTGTAGTCTTACCGTTCTCCAATCGACCTGCCTGGCATGGTAGAACCTACAGTAACATACGTTCCAGCCAATATAGCTCGGTTGGGTCATCACGATAGGCAAGCCCGACCACCGCGCCAAGGTAGCAGCTTCGATCGGGAATTGACACTAAAAAGGGTACAACATTAGTTACAATTCGACAATCAATCAGTTGTATGCTGTTATATTCCTTTCTTAGAGAGGATGGCTTATATATATAAATACATACGTTAGGACGATGGAATTAATAACGATTCACTGAACTGGTTGTGGTTCCAAAGATCATAGTCGGTTAATGGAAACAACTCTAGCGCTGGTATACATCATTGTACTTTGATTTGCAAGATAGCAGGTAAATTTTTTGTAACACAACATGAAATTAATATTTCAGTTATCTTTTCTTAACAAAAACATTAATACATACTCCTGAAAGAAATAAGACAATTCCATATTTTGAGAGGCGGAGAACAGTATCAATATTTTGATAAATACACAATAAAAATAAACAGAAGTCAACCATATTAGAATAGAGAACATTAACCACCCTTTAATGTGCCACTCAATTTCTTTTTGGACATTAAACCGAACATGCGAGTTTAACTTAACAGATAAAAAATGACGATAGAAATGCACCAGTCAGGCTTAATCAAAATTACCATATACAATTTAATTTATAAATTTTAACATTAAACATCTGTAACATATGGATTGTAATCATAATTATTATTATGTATATCTGTAGTCGGAAGGGCAATACTACTATTTTTCATCATGTGTCCTGTGTACAATAATCGATCAGATGATTTCGATTCTTTCCGATTCATTACAACATCATGATCATCTCCATGTAATAATCTATTTTTATCATGTTTGTGTTTTATTTGTCTTTGACTGTGTAATTTTGAAGTTCTCATTGACGATCCCAACGTCGGTGAGGATGATGAGGATGATATCAATGACAATGATGCATTCGAAGAACCAGATGCGGATTTTACACGGTTTGATGGTACTGGGGGAGGTGGTGGATGTTTATTAGTATTATTCTGTTTAGTTGATAATCTGTTAGGAAATTTCTCTTCAGAATATAATGATATGTGGTAGCTTGTACATGATGTTGTTGAATTAGACAAACTCAATTGTTTTTGTCTAATCTGATCATTGGATTTAAGATAAGCGAAAGAACTTATTCTCGGTAGTTTTGGTGGTGGTTTTAATGTTGGTCTTATTGTTAACGGTTGTAAGATTGATGTTGTCGTTGTTGTTGGCGGTTGAGTCCAAGGAATAGTTGACATTTTGGTTGAATAAACATTACGATTAGAAAATGAATCTTTCAATAATGAATGAAATTCACTACCCGGTGTACTATGACGTATACTTGATTTAAATTGTTTTGGTTGTGGACGTTTCATCAGTAACACAATAATTATGATTAAACTAATCAACGCAACACTGAGAAGACAACCTAATACCAGTGTAGTCAATCGTACATTAATTAAAGGATAGTAGTAAATTGGTGGAGATGCTAATATTGCCAAGTTGGGGAGGGCGATGTAGAGAAATGGTTAGAAAATTGACAGAAAAAAAATTATATCAATCAATAAAATAATATAATTTGCGGATTGCAAACGCTACAAACCGAACGGTGATCAAGTTGAGACGGATATAATCTACAAATTAAACCAATCTCTACAAAACCCCTTCGACTAATATCGTAATTTTAAAGTTTAAATCACAAAATGATCTTAGACCGCCATTGAAAACCTGGAAGCACTGGATGGCCATCCGATCCTAGTGTGAGACTCGTCAGTGGTGCGCATCCACAAACCCATACGTGGGAATCTGAACCAAGACCTCTGGCCATGCGTCAAAATGCTTTGATATTGGTTTAAAGTTGTTTTGAGTTCCATATGTTCTTCAAGTGTAGGAATGCTGTCCTTGCTTTGCCAATCCTCGCCTTTACGTCTGCATCTGATCCTCCTTGTTCATCGATGATGCTTCCCAGGTATGTGAAGGATTCTACATCTTCCAGAGTTTCGCCATCAAGAGTGATTGAATTGCTGTTCTCCGCTTTGAATTTGAGGACCTTGGTTTTCCCTTTGTGTATGCTGAGGCCTACTGATGCAGAGACTGCTGCTACACTAGCTGTCTTCATCTGCATCTATTCGTGTGTACGTGATAGGACGGCTAGGTCATCTGCGAAGTCCAAATCGTCTAATTGATTCTGAGCTGTCCATTGTATTCCGTGTTTTCCTTCAGATGTCGAGGTCTTCATAATCCAGTCGACCACCAGAAGAAAGAGGAAGGGAGAGAGTAGACAGTCTTGTCTAACTCCGGTCCTTACTTGGAATGCATCTGTCAGCTGTCCTCTATCCACGACTTTGCACTGTAGTTCATCATATGAGTTCCACCTGCAGCTCTCCCAGAGTTACTGCCGGTCCCAACCCAAGGGTTGGGCATGGAGTTAGCGACCCCATCCAGTAGAAAACTAACTCGCTAAAAAAACGCTAACTAGAAAGATATACCAATTAAGACTAACCAAAATTCAGTCAAAATATCAACAACTGGATAATCCAAACCATTACGAATGAAATTAAGCTTTATGCGCTGTTATCATTCTGACGAGAGTTGATTAACCAACATTTCATAAAAATCATGTACTGTTTTAAGCTAATATTACCAATGAATTCCTCTTTAAGTGATTAGATGTTATGTAATTGAGCTTGTTTAACATGTATTTTCGTGTTTTAGTCAACTTTATTCTTTGATATTAGCTTCGTATCCCTTACTAAGTGAAGAAATCATACAAATGAGTCGTTATTGGAATTGTGATGTAACAGTTACGTGCTGATATGTTGAGCGAGCATATACATCAGATGCTTGTGAACATATGACATCTAAAAAGCAAATGGTGAGAAATTGTGAAAGAGATACTCTTTTCAATAAAGCCTACCCAAGGTCTACGCTTATTTATCTCGTTCAGAAGGACAATCGTTTGTGTACTTATGATTTGGATACGTTGAAACGTGACTTGGTAATTAAACCTTCCCATTCATATGACGTACATATATTGGCTAAATCGGACTGTCAGTAGCGACATGAGTTAACCTCAGGACTCAAAGGACCTTGTTTTCGTCTTTGGTGAATTTATGAGCCCAGACGTGATGAACTAACGATATATTTTAGTCTGAATACTCGTGAATTTTTTAAACCTGCTCTTTTATTGATTACCATTGTTCGTCAGAGAAAGTCTTTGGCTGAGGACTCCTTTATAATGCGCGCAAAAAATGTTCACAAACTACCTGGTACAGGTTCGGCTAATTCTTCAAAACGATATCGCCAAAATGCCATATCTGAAGATCTATAATGATATTTAATTGAACTATTCAATTCAATGTGAAGATAAGCTTCTTCCGGTTGTTTAAAATTTGGCCATTTAATATTTTTCACATTCTGTGGAGTTGGATTTCTAAAAAGTCAAGATGATAATTATTATTACTGATATAATAAAAATTGGTAATAAATGAAGTATCTTAAATACTTAAATAGTGCGTACAGTTAGTTTTCTCTTTGGAATCATTTTATGCTAGTTTGCATTTTCCAGTTTTACATATCCCAATTATTGACTGAGTTGATATTCCCTATGGGATATGAACCAGAGTCGCCATTTCCACAGCCAGATATGTCGGTACAGAACTGTTCGAGTTGTGACTGACCTGTAGGTCATAAATGTTTACACTAACCGACCATAATAGTTACGATTGTCCTGGGTTGTATATTTACTAGTACTGGTAGAATTCTGTCTGACGACGTTGCAATGCGGGCTTCATTTTAAGTGACTCGATTCCATGATGAATTATTTTTGGCTGTTAAGTAAGTAGAGGCAATCATCAACAGCCCCCGTATCCGTGTTTCATGTTAGTTAACGTTCGTTAGGAAGGTGTATCTGAAATCTTACAAAGCTGTTACACTGTTATCCCATTTCAATCTTTATTCAACAACTTACCCATATTTCACAAAATTTGCCCATAAATCCAATAAATATTCACTGATATTTGTATCGTATGGATAAACATAATTGTCTGATACACATCGGGGTAACGGATTATTCTCACCAAATAATGTTAGCCAAATTGATTTATTCATAAAAGGGAATCCGAATAGAAAAGGCAATTCAATTCCATGATAAATTCCTAAAAATATAAGTAATGCAATGTGATTATTGTTTATCAAATACTACTGTGAATATTCTTTAATGGATCATGTTCATCAGTAGTATATATGTCAACTTATTAAATATTTTTCACTGATATCAACTAAACAACAATGTTTTGTCAGAATATTTGATTTTTCTAAAATAAATTCGTATCTGAATTATCCATAGATTGGATATGAATTCATTTGAGAAAACATTCGGATTCTAAATCAAGAAAATGCAAAGTATCCTAGAGACGTTCTGAATACATGGCATTCATTTCAATCTTTAGTCAATAGACATATCAACATAGACCTTATATACTAAATTATGGGGTAAGTGGTTAATTAGTTATGTATTCAGAGGTCAACCAAACAAAGTATTCAATATTAATGCGAGGGTAATGAAGCCAATAAAGCTTCCAAAGATCCCAAGATACCGAGAGTATCATCACAACACGTTGAATAAGCTCTTGAGAAATAGTTAAACCTCTCACGTCTAATTGAAATAAATTCTAATGATGATCAGAATGACAAATAAAGCTTCGCAATTTAATTACTGAACTCAGAGAATACAATTAAATACATCCACTTGAAACTGCACATCTCCAACATTCCAGCATAATTTTAGCTATTCTGGTTCATTGATTACCCATTTGGATATTAGTATCACATATTAACATATCAACTTTGGAAAAACAAAGAAAGTCAACTAGCTTTAAAATGAATTCTTTGAATTTTTAATGGGTAACTCTTAACTACAGAGTAAACCAAGTTAAAAGTAAGGCATTAAACTTGTGAATGACATTGAATAAGAGGGTGCTACTGCGAATTAAGATTGAAAATCTAGTCTTATCGTTAGAAACATAAACACTATAATATCACAATTTCATTCAGCATCGTGAATGAACACTACTGATTTATTTATTTATTCATTTAAACACTTAAACATTGATAAGGTGGAGCAACAAAATATATATGCAGTACACTCATCATTTAATTTATATTTGAGCTAGAATACTGTCCAAGCGCCCAAACCGAAGCAGATGTTTTTCATGGGGGACCACTCCCCGAACCTTTGAACTAAAAGTCTGACCCACAAAATGGTGGAGCAGCGTCAGGAGATACAGTCCCATGGTAGCTGGTAACCAACAATAGGTTCATACGCCATTTGCTTCCTTAGGATCGTAGAGCCCATCAGGGTTTTCCAACTCCCCTAGGTGGATCCTTCATATCCACCAACCCGGTTAGAGCACAGGACATTCTCTTTTCGTACTCTCATTTTCGTAAACAACACCGCCGCCGCAAGAAAGCAGTGAGTAGGACTTCCCTGACAGTTGTTTTGTGCACGTGGCCATATGAGAACAATTCGAGAGAGAGAGAGCTGACTCTCCCCACTCTTTGACGTACCAGGATTTGGGGGGGGGGTAAGTTAAGGCGAAGAAGTTATTCAGTTCTTCCTGACTTTCTTGATTCGAAAGTTCTCCAGTTAACTATTTATTGCTCTGATTAATGAAAATTACCTTCGAATCATATAGAAAATCACTTAATCAAAATACACAATAACTATTTATAGTGAATTTGATCGAAACGAACAGTTATAGAGTGAAAAGAAGAAAACACAATGAGTTCTGTGAATAAGCTATAAATAGGTTGTTTTTGTTGTGACAGAGAAAAGATATGAAATCAACACTGTGAGTCACGTGTTGACCAATGATACTATCGCATGAAAATTTGACATTGTTATTTCAAACTCATTATACAAGTGTTAGACTCTTTTTTTCATAAATTACAGTCCAAATCGAATATACCTAATGATTCACCGTAATTACCTTATACTGAAACTAACACCACCTAACATACCATGAAGTGTTATTGTTGATTTACAAGATAATGTAGTTATCTTCTAGTATTGCTGCGTTCACTGAGCTAGATGATTTAATTGAAAAGCTCTCGTTGTCGTTTTGCGTAATATCATCAGCACCTACTTCATGCAGTGAAGTTTGCGCTTATGGCCTTGATTGTCGTTGGTTATCCTCGTAGATTTCATCGTTTTCAGATATCACCGTGTTCAAGTTGACTGTTTTGCCCCTTAGATCTTTGGCCAGTTTATTTATTACTTAACCTTTCTCGAATGGATTAGTAGATCAAGTATAAACAGATGTGCCTATCGGTCGCTCATTGATCTGAACGCCTTGATTCCATGCTTCCTAGAATTACCACCACACCGATGCGTTTATCTGCATAAAACTCACATGTGACTATCGAATTCAATCAGATATGCTAATTAGTTGTAAGCATACTGTTTATCGAAATAAATTTATAAGACATCTATGCTGTGAAAAAGTTTGTTTCAAGATGATTACAGCTTTTTGACTCGAATAAAGACATCCTGAAGGCAAAGGTTTTTACAGTTTAACCGACCCGATCTGCAGTAAGATCATTGTGCATTAGTTAACCAGTAGGGAAGATAATTTTTAAAACATGTCTAAGCGTAATATATATAAATATTTTAATTTCCTGTAGTTCTAGTGAGAAGTAGTGACCAATGGAGTTCAATCGGGTCTGTTGTGAGATAATAACTCACAGAATACTATGGTGGATATGTATCTCAACTTTTTGGATTGGTTGAAGCTAGACACTAACTCCGTTGGATGCCTGCTCAGTGCTATAGTCTCGCGCGCGAGACCGACAGGTCCTGGGTTCGAATCTCGCGAGGCGGGATCGTAGGTGCTGAGGAGTCCCACAATAGAACGAAACAGCCGTCCAGTGCTTTCAGGTTTTTCATAGCGGTCTAGCTTCAATTGATTCATGATCTCAACCACTGATATTTCAATTGTGCTTAAAATTCAAAGTTGACGTGAAAGAAAAACAAATCATGTAAGGCGGTTGAGGTTAGCCGATAGGAAAAAATGAATAGCTTAGGTTTCGTGCTAGTTGACACTTATTAGTAATATGTGCATGCAGTCTTGAGAGAACTGATGCTTCCAGTGAAATTTAAGAAGGCGTCAACGAGGTCCACAGTCTTATATATTACTACTGTACCACTCAAGACAAAAGAGAGATATTTACACTGATTGATCACTGAAAAGTGACCAATGCCGTGTTTGTCTACTCTGAATCTAATTTCATCAAGGAAAATGTTATGTGCCAACTAGTCTGATTGATTCAACGTCAAGTAAATCATATTAAGACGTCCCCTCGAGATTGAAAGTATGCCTTGTTGATGAGTATCAACTTGAACGAACTTAAGTCAAGTATAAATTCCTGAGTACTACCTCCAACAAACTAGCATCAAAATATAGTACCCGATATCGAGTCAATCAGATTAGTGGCAACACTACAACCTGATTAATAGAAATCGGTCAGTACCAAAAAACAAGTCAAACATAAAAGTGGTCAATACATAGTGATTTGTTACTCGCAAAGCAGAACATGTAATTGATATAAGTGAAGCACATATGAGATACGTCAATAAAATATAGAACGCTTTCAGAATTACCAAAGCTTACAAGACCGAAAAAATTACTCCATTTTTTAGTATTTAGAAAGAAAAGGTATGTAACAGTGAAAGAAGACAAGTTCAATACATTGTCTCGTAAATGGATTGAAGTTGAGAATGGTATGCTGGGAAATTCTAACTCAGTGGTCTGACTATTAAAAAGTGGCTGTAAGATATAATGGTCATGTTACACTCGTGGGTGTACACTTCAGATGAACCCCATACTAGGACGAAAAAACTGTCCAGTACTCCTGAATTTTCAGAAGTATCCGAACTGAGGTTACTGTGACAAGAAAACCACCTACACATCTTTTCCTAGTCAAATTGCTTCCGATACAAAAAACAATAGGAATGTCAGTCTTCAAAGAAGGTTCCTTAACTTTAAGTTTTCCATGGTGGTCTAGCTTTCATCGGCTCGTAATATTTTGTCCTTAAATTCAAAAGAGATTTGTAAGTAGTAATTGACTTGTTTATTTCAAAATAATACACATCAATTTATAAATAATTCATAAATTTCAATTATGTATTTGATAAACTTGCCGATTTCTGGTGTTGCTTGTTTGTCATTTGGACTGGAATAGGAAAATTCATAGAAGTAAACTGACGGTGAATAGACTGAATGATATTTTACAATAGAATCTAATGGTGATATAATTTCCATATCTGAAACCAACTAAAATGTGAATAAAATAATTGATTATAAACTCTCAAATATTTTTGTTAATAAACATACTACTTTTTTTAGTAAGTAGCTAATATTCTTCAGCTAACGTTTTTCACGGATTAGTATTTATTCATGTTACACCAAATTACATTGTGAAATGTATATATATGGATGACTTAGATTATTCGAAATAAAATAAGTGCACTTTGTGCCAAGATTTTTGCTAGTTGTTTCAGATGATTCACAGAATATGACTGAGCACTCAATACAATGGTTTCGTTCTAGTGCATGATGCCAGTGAGACTAGCGCTGATACCTTTATTTATAGCGGAGTGTCGGATCTTAAATTTCAACAACAAACACGAAAGCATTAACTAAAGACGAATGGTCGAAATCTTTCAATTCAATCAATTTATGATAAAGCGTGATATCATAAACTTCATTTGCCTCACTCCTTAAATGATTGAATTCAATTAATCATAACTAACCATCGAAACTTCCAAAGTACAAATTTTGTTTTTGTTCGAATATTTCGTGGTGATTAGTTTATATTAATGAATAACTCTTGAAAATGAAATAGATATTTAAACATTTCACAGTAACACTGACCTTGTACCTTTTTAGTCATAACGACCACTAATTTTTAATATTCTTTTTTTTCATAAAAACAGGACGTTACACTAAATCATTGTTACCATTAACCGAACTACTATTGTAGTGAACAAGAACACGAGTGGAGACAGTCGAATGTACTTGAACAGGAAATTACAGAATATCTCGCTAAAATCTGAGAACCATACAGTAAATACTTAATTTGCAAAATATTAATTTACTGTCTCAAATCGGACTGCTTCTTTGGCAAATATCAGTCCATCGTCTCAGATTTCATTGATCCTGCATTTTCATACCAATTGCTTTCCGTTCTCGTTCCTTCCTTCTCGATCTTTAACTGAAATACATTCTATTCCTGACTATCGTTATATGCTACTTATGTGGATATAAGTATCTCAATAAATAAATGAAGTGAAATAATTCAAAGAGAAAAACAGCCATTTAATTATAAAAGAAACTTGAAATTTCAACCAACTAACAAAGATTTAAAAGATGAAATTTGTTCAAGATCATAAAAATTCACAATGAAAAATAAAAATTATATAGCACAGTTGATGATGTTCAACATTTCTACTGAATGTTTTATTTGGTTAGTGTTTTTTGGCGAGTTAGTTTCCTACGGGCTTGGGTCGCCAACCCCCTCCTTCATCCGGGTATGGGACCAGAGTGGCTCCAGGCGGAGTTTATAGACATAGATAATATTTAGCTTCCAGGGAATAAATGCTAAGTGAATTAAACTGTACAGTGTAATATCCATCATTTGTCGATGTTTCAAGTTCAGTCCTTGATAAAACCCATATAGCAGACTATAGATATTTTTGTTAATATAGGCAATGCTTCAGTATGTAATTGAATTAAATTGATCAGTTTATCTTGACAATTATTTATACATTATTTCGACAGTTGAATGACATTTGAAACATTTGTTTGTAATTTACTTGAACGTAAATTCTTATATAATTGATTTGGGAATATGTGACTCGACAAACATGATCCGGAAGAATTCAACAACATTATCCAGCGTGGCTAAGAATAGGAGGAAACGGTTCAATAAGACGTTCAATAATTGAACACCTTGTGAACACAGGTCACTTAATCAAGACAGACTCTGAGTTCAAAGTTAACTACAAGGTAAGTAGAAGTCTTTCAAAGACAATTAGATTGCATCTTCTTAGCACTGCCGAAGTAATAGCCATACATCTGGGTAAACCAGAATTATCTGACCAAAAGAGATTATTACAATCTTTTTTCTACCATAGTCTTAATGTCTTATAAGTTCTTTTCTTTCCATACTCTTCTTCCTTTATAGCCATCTGCTTCCCTTTCCATCTTCCTTAAATTTTCTACCTCCCCCTCAACTGGTTTATTTCTGTTTCGATGATTGGATTATTAGATTCCCTGTTTTAAAAAAATTTCAATACCTTTGTTTATTCTACCTCACTGTCACCATATCCAACAGAAATTTATTATCAGTATTATTGTATAGCTTTGAAAATGAATTCTCCTAAAAGAGTACTCTTCACTGAACCATTCTTTCTTACTTAATATATTAATGGGTATATTCCGTTTTCAATAGTTAGTGCTGACCAATACCATGTTTGTCTGATTAGTAATGTGCTAATTAAGTTCAATATATCAAGTTTTCAATGTTCATGGTCAACTGTCACATGACTGAATATTTGAAGTATTGTGTTTGGATTTTAGTTAGGTTATTGGAATTGGTTGTTATGGGACTTTGTTTTGCTAATGCAAACATCAGTAAGATTATGTAAAAAAATAAAATCATTAAATTCCTTATTATTTTAACCGAACAAATGGAAGAGTATTCATCATGTTTACTTATTGGTTTATCAATTACATAACTATGGTTAATAAAATACATCTTGTATTTAATCCCTCTTATTATGATCATTGGCTATATTTCGAATACATGTGATGTTGTGCAATTGTTTGAGTCTGATACTGATATAAAACCCTTTTATATGCCAGCCTAACCAGCTACTTGAGTGAGAAAACTAAGAGTGAACAGGAAATTTTTATCTATTTATATTGAGTCAAATATACGTAGACAACTCATCATTAAATATGTCTTTCTTATTTTAAATTAATAACATAAACCAATTTCCTTAGAAAGTTAGGAAAAATCTTGGATAATAAGGTATGTCTGATAGCATCTCTGACTTCTGATTTCTGTCATATTCCGTTGATCCATCCGTTTCAGCTTCGTTAATTTAACGTATATATCAAAATTGTAAGCTGTATTCGATAAGGATTTATCTCAGCTGAACTATCATTGGAAACTAGAGAGCACTAGAAAACTGCTTTGTCCTAATACGGTACTTCCCATAAGTGTCTACCTACGACTTTACCAGAAATCGAATCAAGAATCTTCTAATCTTGAAGCCTGTGCTCAATTATTGAAATTACTAAATCAGAGTTCAGTGACAATCCCAACTTGAATCAATTTACAAAATAGCACAATGATTATCGAATCCAACTGGAGAAAACTGCTTCTCTGTTGACGTCTGTAAGCTACATCACTCACAACGTCTCTCCAGAACATCATGAACATTTTGAAGCAATATAATAGTGAACCGAATATAGCAGTTTTAGTTGGGAGAGTTTTGTGACGACATAACCTGTAACCCGACCTAATGGTTTTAATAGTTAGGCGTTTGTAGCGATGCCTGAAGGTTCTTGATTTGATTTCTGGAAGGGCGGTATGTATGCACTGGGATTTTCCACATTGTAACAAAATAATCCTCTAGTACTCACTCGTTTCCAATGTCACCCCAAATGTGATCAATCAGAGAAAGATACAACTGACAAGTTAAATCAATCTTCACAATACCATTTTAAATATGAGAATATTTTAAATGTTTGTATCAAATCATACTGTTGCTCTTTCTTCTTTAGGCCGTTTATATCTTTTGCAAATTTTGTTATTCTAGGTTTGTTCTAATGTATCATCGGAATAAGTAATTTAAACAGAAATCTGCGTCCGAAATTATAGTAATATCAGTGGTAGGTAGAAAAACGTATATATATATATATAAAGTGTGACGTAATATGAAACTTCATGACTGACAGAAAACGGCAAAAATAATCAAAATAATTTTGCTACTATTACTAAGTATAAGCTGTATCATATAAAGTTGTACATTATAGATCAAAATAGTCTTGTAAACTCAAGGGATATAATCTGAATGTACCGGTTGGACTCCGACTTACAGTGAATTATCCTACTAATTGATTTCATGTCATAATCTAGTCATCCAATAGCATTCTTTAAAATCACTTCAATATAGACCATAATATCGCTCTTATGAATAGGTTGTGGTTTAAAACCCTATCACCATTCAGTTTAGTATTTATGTTGAGTTTCCTACATCTCATCACTTAGTTCTCCCACCATACACAAGCAATCAGTTGAAGAAACATGTAGTTTGTAACCAAGAACTTACAGAAAACGTTTTTGTTTACAGTCTATGTCTCATAATTTTGAAGTAAAGATTTATAATTAGAATTATCCCTGATTATACTCATCTATCGGTATTGAGATGGACATTTCACCTGTACTACGGGTAATATCACATAATAACAAAACAATTGAGTTGCAAATACTACCATATCGACAATATGTACATATATAAATCTACATAAACTTACGTCAACAGTACGTTTCCATCGCGCAGTATTATTCTCTAAATTTGACCACCATGTATAACGTGTATATAATTCTTCTGCAGTTTGATTATGTCGAAAAACATTTAAATCATTTAACAGGGTACCAATAAAACGTCTTACAATAGTATCTGTAAAATTTTCAATTGTGTAACCATATTGATCTAATTCTATGATGTTAAAAACAAATAAAGAATATAATAAATTCAATGAATTGCAAGCTTGTTTTACAAAAGAATAATAAGCAAAATATCATAACTTCTGAGATTTCATTAAATTAAATTAAACTAAAGATAGTACTAGGTTATATTATCTAGAGTATATAGCTCAGGGTTGCTTTCACTGGACGAAACACTTGATCGGTGTGGTGGCTGTGGTGATTGTTAGATTCTATTGAGATCAAGAAGCAACATAGGTTAGAAAACCATTGAGAACATTGAAACACTGAACAGCTACTTTGGTCAAGTATGAAACTCCTCATAAGTAAGCATCAGCAACCCCGCCACCTGGTATGAAACCCAAGAACTTCGGTTTGGTGTACGAACATCTAACCTCCAGACGGTGGGATCAAAGGTACTCACTGAAAATGAAGAGTTCTATATCAGAACAAAACAACTGTACAGCGTACATACCTCATTGACAATAATCCAATCAATATTGAAATCATATCTAATTAGTACATAAACACGAAACAACACAGTACTATTACATTTATATATATATATATATATATATATATATATATATATATATATATATATATATATATATATATATATAAATCTGCAAAAAAACAACTCTTACGATATAAAAAGTGTTCTAATGCCAGCGAACCTTCGTCTTGTACAACACCAGCAAGTAGTGGTATTTTAGCAAAATTACCTAGTGAACGTTCTTTAGCTGGTGTACGTGGGAAGAAACCAGATATTCCGTCAACAACTGGTGTCCAGACAAATGATGGAGCTCCTGGAAGAGAGTGTAATTCACTACAAAAAGATCACAAACAGCCGGTTGATTATTAATGAAATAAATTTATCAAATTCTTATGAACCAAAATAAACTTAGCAAAGTCCGTGTAAACAATTAATTGTACAATTGAGATCGTAAACCGATCAGTGTTAGACCACCATTGAAAACTTGAAAGCACTGAATGGCCGTTTCGTCCCAGTATGGGACTCCTTGATGGTGCCCAGGAACTTCGGTTTCGCGCAAACGCTTAGCCTCTAGACCACTTAGCCGGGATCCAACGGTATCTAACTTCAACCAATCCACGAAATTGCGCGACTATCTTCCATTGTCTTTGTGGGTAACTGTCTCACACTGGACACGGTTGAACTCCACTGGTCACGGTTTCTCACTGGAACTGCGAGTATTGCCATTTGATGCTAGTCAATAATAAGCACATGATAACCCTGTACTAATAGTCAATTCAACGAATGAATGTTTTATCCTGATAATTTACTGTGGCATCATCATATTTTAGTATATAATAAGAAAATATATTTATTATCATCTTTACCACTCATCTCAAAATCTACAGAAAATTATTTTTCCATCGAATTGCCAAATAACTAATACTCGTACACTCACACACATTCTTTCTGCATTTAGAGGTCAGCTTGCAAACAATTAGTGATAGTTTTATGTTTATCGTATTCCTCAAGTATTAAAGTGATGCACTACAACTTTTGTGTAATTTGAAAGGAAACATCTAAATAACTATGATGATAGATAATTCAAAGTATCTTATAGCACCGTACTGACTTCATGAATGACGAAAATGATGAATAAAGCATGATACGCGAATTCCCTATTTAATTTCGTATATCATGGTTATGCTAATCCTTATTATAAAACAGCCGTAATAAAAGTCAAATACAAAATGTTTTTGAAAAATTCATTGCACGCATTCATTTACATAGAAATAAAATAAGCACAAACATTAGCATCATTGAGTAAATAATTTAAGTAGACGTGATTTAACATTTATAGTCTGATAGATAAAAACAAGCTAAAGACGGATAACGAATAAACTAAGGGATAGATATCCATACACACACATACATACATACACACATACATACATACACACATAAAAACGCTTCAGGTCACAAGTGACTAATTGATTATGCCAAGTATATGTTTACAAAATGACTCAAAAAGACTAAATTGCTTTGTCTGTCCAAAAGGTATAAAAGCTATTACAGTACTTACCCTAAAATACAGAAATTTAACGAAAAACATGATTATTATCGAAGGTAACTACATATGAAGGTTATCGTTAACGATATTAAATGGAATCAATGATGAGCACTGAAACCTAGAAACTCTTCATAATCATCACTAAATAACAGGTCATACATCCGGCTGACGAGTCCCAAATACAGCAAAACGTGCGTCCTGGATTCCACTGCTAGCCATCACCCATCTCCGATTAATAATGCTTATAACTTAGTGACAATATTGAGGCGATCGTCACAGGATGCACATATTTTATAAGTAACTAATCAATTACAATCCTAAACACCAGTGGAAAGATACAAACAACCAATACTTATAAGCTTATGTTACGTTCACTTCGCTTTACAAGGCTATTGTAATAATGTTTTTCTGACTATGATTCACTTATACAGAATGAAAGTGTACTGACTATGCTAGAACCACTTTAGTTTATGAGTAATATTATCTTTACTAAGTCATTGGCTTTCATCACGTTAGTTTCATTGTAATTCTATTTAATAAAGCTATCAAATAGTTTTATTTGTGACTTTATATAATTAAACATTTTACAGTTTGAAACATAATGTTTAATTTTGTTCTTTTATAACCCCGTCTTCAACTTCTAACTAGCTTCACTATTCATTGTAAACTCAATCCATTTGCAGAGGATGAGATGACTTAGCATAAAACAATAATGATTTGTTCACTCTATGCTAAGAAGTGATTAAATTAGAAATCATCACTTCAGACTCTTAATTGATGAGGTGGAAATTTTTCTGCTAGAGATTTATATTAACACGTAATCTAAACGTAAACCTTTTGGACAGTCTAGTCTTCCATTAAACTAATCAACGAAAACCAACCAATCATTTTGACATATTAATGTATGTATGTAAAGAAGTCTTGTTTTTTTACCAAATGTCAACTTATTTCGTAATCACAGATCAAGTGTTACCTTCTGTAAAAGTAAACTGTACAAAAAAAATCCCAGTCAGATTTAAGATATAGGTCTTTGGATCTCTGCTCGAAATTCAAAACTCAACGACAAATAACTTGACTGATAAGGTTTTCTAAGTTGTCAGCATAGTTTAGTTCTACTGTTACTTTCTGATATCCTAACAGCCCAACCAAACAGTAGGCGCTGGCGAAAGTAAATATGTTTATTGTCGTTTCTTGTATATTATCAGTTTTTACTTATTCAACTCACTCAATATGCTTCATAAGTTGTGTTTTGGAAAAAAAGGCAAAATATTTGTCGAGATTTCAGTTTAACAAAAAGGAGAATAAATCAAAATACACCTACAGGACAGCATCATTAATTTGTTCCGCAGTTTTCTCATATCTTAAACAATAAATTAATGCATATGCATCCACTTGTACAGAATATGGTATAGTTAAAGGTTGTTTCACATATGATTCACCAAATGGCAATTTTAATGTTTTATTCGTATATGAGCGATGCAGATTAGCATTACGTATATATTGTTGTGATTCATTTATAGCATTAATTTGAACTGAAGAACAATTTAATCGTTGAGCTAGTTCAATTGCATAATAACGTGTACGAACTTTGGCTGGGTCACTGAATGCCCATTGGGATAAATCAGAACCGGACATCATTATTGCTTGGTTGAATAAATCTGAAAATACGATATACAAGCGATTATCAGGTGATCGTGTGATTATTAAGGTTATCCAGAAAATGGTTCATAATAAAACTGGAATAGTTATCAACTGATAAATTGCCAAAAAACTAATTGACCTTACATTGTCCACTATATATATGTATAAATACTGGTTCCCCAGAGAACATCACCCAAAGTTTCGCACCTTTATTGGTCGAATTCTAGCAATGACATTTCGAAGTTGCTAAATGTTGAGTACTATAAAATAAGTATAGAGTACGTTAGGTGATCATAAGTAGTTGGCAGACAACCCTGCCCCACTAAAGTTTTATGTTAGTTGACACTCGTCAATAAACATGTCTTCAGTCTTGAGGAAAGTGATATTCCTTGTGGGACTCGTAGCTATGTCACTCAACTTCACAGAAATCGCAAGTATCTCAGTTCTACAGGATGCCATTCGCGGTTCTAGTAAAGTAATGGTAGCATTTTAGGCTGTAAAGTAGATTACAACAAGTCTGAATCCCACCGACTGCAGCGGAGACCTCAATATTTCAGGTTCGCCTTGTTGGCTGGTACTAACTTGCAAGAAATCAAGGTCGATTAGGGTGTTCTGACGACTATTTCAAACCACTCAACACACTTAACGTGGATTTATTAAACAACTGGTTTATAGTTATTTAATAATGCTTTAATTGTAAGCTTTTATTTAGTACATAAACTGCTACCATATCTGTTTCCGTTCATAAGTTACTAACAGTTAATAGTAAACCTTTTATTCATGTGAGTAACACAAATGTCCTAGTCATGTAATATAGAGGTTTGCCGTTTATGATAGATCATCATCTTGTATTTTATATGCGTAATAAAATGAGTTTTAAAATTTGAATAAGATAGAATAATACATGGTACTTGTTTGGCCGTTTTGGAGTTCTGATTATTAGATTAAGAACAGATAAGAATTCGATCGTTTCGCGTGTACATTAAACGCCTTACCGGACTTATTGTTCACGTACGGGCGAAGAAAACCAAAACGATCATGGTACTGTTTTCTTCAGTCCCATTCAAATACATCAAGTTTCCAACTCAGTCTATAACCCATGTGGTGGAAGAAGCCTAAGACTGTGTAAAAAACATGCTTCAAAAAGCTAAATAGTAATGTTTACAACATGAGTATATATATATATATATAGGTGGTCAGACTGAACAAAATAGGGAAATAAGGGTGGCGACTGTTACTTGGTAGAAAATTCAATTTCAACAACCCACTCACACATGTCTCTCACAATATAGCCATCAGATAACAATTGGATTGTCCACCCTCGCCCTGAATATCAAATTCATCATTTATAAACTGCACTAACTTCGGTGTTATTATAAACTGGTGAAACTTCAATTTAACAGTTATGCGTTGTTTCTTTTCATCAACTAAATTACGAAAGAACTGAATGCTTTCGTCAACTATGAAAAAACTATATATTATATTATGTCACATTGTGTGCTATTAAAACTTATCCATATAATAGTTCTATCGTAATTAAATCATAGAAAGTCATAATATGACGTAGATAATTTATTTTAAAATAACTCAATCACAATCAAATAATCAGTGTTACAACAGCGCAAACAACCCAAACCACTGATAAAGGACTGAGGCAGAAGTATACTTTCTGGATGAGATAATCAGAACCGAGAATGTGACTTTTAGGATTTTGCATGAGATTTAAATATCATGTATAACGAGCTGTAGAAATACAGTTTTTACTGTTTAAAACATTTTAAATAGTTGCAGAAACTTATTTTTTACCACTACGTAGTGAAAATAAAAGTGTTCAACCTATCGACTGCTTGGCTCTGCCTCTGTAGATTTTATATAACATGAAAACTGACACTTCTCAAATATTAACCTTAAACACTTAACCATGAAGCAAACCTAAACGTGGTGGGACTACATTTTATGGATGAACTGATCAGATAGTCTAAATTCACTTGGTGTTGTTTTACTTGTATCTTCCCATTGTTATTTAGGACTGCAATTGATCAATCTCATGTAGGCATATGTACATTCTGCGCGGAATGCCTCAATATAACCTTAAGTTCCAAGTTTTTTAAGCAAAGATGGATAGTGGCTAGCGAACGGTAGTGGATTCGAGTCCCGGAGTGGACATCAACTCTCCGAGATGCAGGTACATCCAGCCGACGAGTCCCAAATAGGACGAAACGTGCGTCCTGTATTCCACTGCTTACCACTATCCATCTTTGCCTAACCACATAGCCCCTCTTGTCTTTATGAATGAGATTAATTTACCTGTATAAACTATTGAACTTTTTTTCTACTATAGTTGATGTCATTTCATGAGTGAAACCACACTCCTTACCTCCAAAAACCTAACCATATCTGGGAACAATAAAATAACTTCTAAAAGTCTCTTTGATTCCTTATAAGAGTTTGAAAAGATAAACAACTATATTCCTAAGGACGAGTTTATATTTCGTTGTGTTTTGTTTTCGATTTACAGGCAAAGTAACCAATAGCAAATATTTATAGGTTTATTAATTACGTGTAGTTGGCTCACATTTTCTAATGATGTAATAGTTTTCTTTTACAAAAAACAAACCGCCAATAAAAGCTACAATTTGATTGGATAAAAACTAGTTTAAAATCTTCACGACTGATTTAAACTCACCCTGAAAGTATACCTTTACCGTAATTGCCTTAATAATCTGTTCACTTGATTAACAGAGCATTTTTTGCTTCAAACTGTTTGGGATCGTTATAATAGGATTAAAGTTTTCAGTAATACTTAGTTACTGTATGGTACTCCAAAACAATTTCAGTCAGTGATTCAACCTATGAACAAGATCATTTCATCTCGATAAACCTCTCAAATCAAACTTTTGTGTAATGATAGTTATAATTAACAGCCTGATTTCTTGAAGTCATTGTATATTTAGTGGAAACTTTTTGTGCAGATTGTTGAATTTTACAGTTTACACCATAATGTGACATTATTTGAAAACCAAAAGACATTTGATAGAGGTGTAAGATGAATGCTCAACATTGTGAAATGGTTGAAGTTAGTAATATAATCCAATGGATGATATATCTGTGGTCTAAAAGTTAGGCACACAACCACGAGACATGCAGGCCGTTTGGTCTAATCGTCAGTCAGGTTGTAGATGTTTAATACCAATGTATCATACCAAGACGAAACAAGTGTTCAATACCTACTGGTTTATAAAACTACAGTCCATTCATGGTGTAAACTATGAAATTTCGACATCTAAATAAAAATTTAACTACCAAACAAAGTCATTATAGATTTTCTGAAGGTAAAATAGAGTGTTCAACTTTGGAAAATCCAAGTTCCATAAATTTTTATTTAATGATTGATTCAACTACAATCAGCATTTTAGATAGAAAATATCTAAATACGTCTTAGATTGACAAGTTAAAATTGGATATGTATTCGACTAGATTATATAAATGTTATGAGAATATAAATAGTCAGAACTGTTATTAAATGAATAAATAAACAGGTTGATTGTCCATATATTATATCCAAAGATTAAATAGACAGATAATAGATAGATGGTTTTATGATTGTCACAACCAATCCAACAATACAAAGACTGGATTAACGATATAGTGGCACTGAATCTGACTCCGATTGGATTGTATGCTGATTGTCATTAAAATACACATGTCGGCTATCGTCGTATATTTCAACGACTTAAATCGCGTTCGTGAATAACAGAATTAAGTAAGTCGAATACGAGAATAGATTTTTGAATACATATATTTTGTACACTCAGTGATCGGGACAGGAAATGAGAGGGATGAAGCGAATATGAGAGATCGAAGCAAAACGACGCGCGGTGGAGAAGGCGTGTGAGCCAACTCCATTTATTCAAGCGTTAATTAGTGTTTATAGCCAGATAAAAATGAGTTACAGACATGTGATAAATAGGATAAGACGTGCACACAGATATACGCTCATATAAAAACAGTCAAGGTTGATAAGTGAATGATTAACAAGGTCAAAACATGACTCGAGAATGGATAAACTGGTCTGTTCAAAAGCTAGAATAAGGTATATGGGCTTAACATAGCAAGTGACACTACAACGGTAACATGATTTCGCATGTATTTATCAATGCCAGTGTTATCCTTGAAAATTTCAATTTTATTAAGCAATGGGTAGAAAGTTATTAAATATATATATATGTGATATCTCAATGAGCAGAAAATGTCATTTCTGATGATTAGTGACTTAATGAAAGTCACTTATTCAGGGTGTATAAGTTTTATTTCGGTCTTTTATTTACTGTGAATAATATACTTCCAAAAACTCAGGAAAAGTTATTAATACAACTTTCTACACATTGAGATATCACAAAAATATATTTATGATTTCACATAACACAAATTATGAAAGCTTTGAGATGATGGTTGGTGGTCGTCAACAGGAAACTCTGGACCTAGGTTTCGAGCTACTTGGCATTCGTCAGCAAGGCGTACCTGTAATCTTGCGGAGAATGATGCTCCCCGACCAATTCGATCCCGTGTCACCTAGGTTCAGGGTTTCCTGTAGACTATCTCCAACCACCATCTTATCTCAACATAGTGCAAGCAATGTAGAGTCACCTAGACTGGGGACCACATTGCAACTTGGTCGATAGGATCGGATCTGCACTAAGAAGGACCTGACATACATGATATTAATCACCATCTAGTGATCCATCAGTTGTAAATACGAAAACTTTCCTACGCACATACTTTTAGATTTACTATTAATTTTTCAAAATACTTTCAATGTTTAATGATATTTTCAAGATGCAAATTTTTTCTACTTTCAACAAATTGAAGATAATTTTTTTAAAAAAAAGCCGGCATTCATTAACATTGAATATTAACAAAGAAAAATGAGTAAATGTGAGTCAGAGAAAGGGTCATCAATGTAACCAAGCGGACCAATTAGAGAAATCGGAGAGACTATAATTTACGAACGAACCAA